TTAATAGAGAGAGAGAGAGAAGCAAATGGCTTGAAGGGCAAGAGGAACAAAGAAAGAAGAAAGGAAAAGGAGAGAAGAAGAGTGAAAGATTTTGAGAGAGAGAGAGAAGAAACAAGGAAGGTTCTGGGTTTCCTGTTTGGTGCTTCCGTGCAAAGTCAGAGAACAAAGAAACCACAAATGAAGGGAAGGCCACATCATATTGGTTCGTTTGCGAGAGAGAAATTAAGAAAAGGAAACTCTTTTTTGTGGGTTGTAGATGTGGGTGTCGGGTTGAGACAGCACTGATGAAGATGGAAGCGACTTCTCTGCAAAAATGGGTAACATAATTTTTGCTTTGTTGGGTGGTGAAGAAAAGGTGTCTTCTTTCACACTCTGCTCTTTTTTCGTGTTTTTGGGATACCATTACCTCCATGAAACCCATTTTTTGCCTGTAAGTGGTGCATTTTTTTCTTTGGAGTTTTCCTTCTTTCTCCATAAATTCATGCCCAGCTGGGCCACCGGAAAAGAGAGGGACGGCTATGGAGATTAGCCCATATATACACACACACACATGTAAATTGATTGAGAGTGAGAGAGAGCGAGAAAGGAAGGACCGGCCCTTTTTGGGCAAGAAAGTATCAAGCCTATAAAAGATAAGAACATAGAGATCGTGCAGCTACTCTTGCCTTGATTTCTGGAAATTGATGCTGGACTTGATTTGTATTTTTCCATTCTCCATTGTTTAAAAACAATGACTACTAAAGTTCGAATCTTTTCTTCTAAGCTTGTTGCTTTGAACTGATCCGGGATATGCCCATCATCTCTGGATTCATATAAAACTTCACAGCTATGGCAGCAAAGACAGCAATTGCCCGTTGGATTTTGGATATATTAAATGGGCCTCATAAGTAATAACAAGCCCAATTACGAGAGATGTAAGCCTGTTAACTCACTTATTGGGCCTTTTCAATTACAGCCCAAAGCCCATTTACATCTCCCACCGAGTGGGTGTCGGATCACTGTACGAACATCCACTTCCCTAATCTCTGCCCAGAAGTCTCATCTCCGGTCCGGCGTAGGAGGAAGTGGCCGCCGGAAAGGAGCATCGAAGGAAGGCAAAAATGGTGAAACTGCAGTGAAGATATATCAGATTTGGTGCCCATTAATAGCATTTTGCTTGAGAGTAGATATATCAAGATTTGTTACCGTTCCATTGTGCGTGTAATCAGCTATCAATCCCTAAAACTAGAAAAAAACATTTCTCTACTTTACAATCCAACCCAAAAGTGGCAGATTAGGCAGAACAGTTGATACAATCCAACAGTTTTCTCACCAGACAACACAAGACAGAATTTCAAGGGAGACAGATCTTGGCGGCTTCAACTCAACCTAGCCCCGCCTCTCTTTTCAGCACCTACGAGATCAAAGAAAATACCCCAAGTCAGCAAGTTATTTTTTTTGGCTAAAGCTTTCAGGACATAATCTCTTTCTTTTACTCAGAGCAACAGTAATGGTGTTCATGGCAGTAACCTCTTCAGAAAACTTTATCAAAATGGTGGTCCGAGGGCGTTGCTGTCCTTCGATAGGCACAAAATGAGCTGTTACTACAGCAGGAAAGCCTGCACCATCCAGAACTCCCTGAATAGAAGAACAAGAAGAAAAATTACAGATGGATTGCTCGATATTAGCTTATTCAAGATTCACCATTTCATGATTCTGTAATTCGTGCAAGGGGAGCAAACTCACTCACCTTGACTATCCCCGCAGCAAACGCCCCACAGTTGAACGTTCCCATGTCTTTTGGAATCGAAATGAACCTGTCAAGATCCATTTCTTATCTTTGGCTTATCATGAAGCAACAATCTTTCCTCAAAAGTGTCCACCATAAGAGAATAATCGAGCGGTAACCTGTTCACGAGGAGCTCCTTCTCACTGATCATGTACTCATCTTCATGTTCGGTCCCTTTTTCAAGCGAGTCAGCAACCTATGCCATGAATATTATACAAGACTTATGATCCAGAAGCAGACATAGGTGCTGATTACATCAAAGAGATTTAACTATTGCAAATGAACAATGCCCACCTTTCCAAACAACACCTTCCACACGGTGCTATGGACAAAAGACAGAATTCCAAGCAACCTTGTCTCCCTTCGATTTCCCTGAAAGAACAAGGGCCACCACACTTTGGTCACATGAGCTGAGTCAGGTGGCTAGTTTTCGGCTAGCATAAGCAGACCCAGATGTTCAAACAGCACGATACCGTGACTGAACAGTGGAAGGTTGAAGTTGATTGAAAGTGATTATCGATGTTAGTCAATTCAGAAATCAAACCTTAGTTGGTCAATTATATTAGTCTCCATAGAATCTTATTTCCATATAAACTTCATTCCTTGTTTAATTCGCTAGTATTTCCAACCAGGGTTGATAATCACTCCAATCAACCCCAGTTTTCCAAATCCATATTTGTTTTTCATTTCAACACCATGGACTAAGATGCATCGAGATGAAAAATGCTCTCTTTCAAGCCTTGAACGAATGAACACGACTCCAATGGGCTGATCTTGAAAAAAAAAACTCAAATCGAGATTGGGAGGAAGCTGTACCTTCTCCCTGTGGCAAAGAAGTTCTAGAACTCGAGCTCCAACTGCATATCCCGCATCCTCAAGTCTAAGAGAATGTCAAGAACAAAGTGATCAACACGAGAAATGGTATCAGGAGTGTTGCATTTCAGAGTGGGGAAGAAGACGCTATAATGCAAAAGCCGATTCCATCGACAAAGAGGTCAACCTTCTTTCAAGTTCAGCAATATTGTCGACCTGCGTCTGGTTGTACTGAACGAGCTCCGAGAATAGGAAAGCAAATGCGCTCAAGCTCACCTGCAACAAATACGTAGAATCTGAATTGAATAAACGAATGAGAAGATCGTATGCCGACAAGCTGGAATCAGCTAAGATAATCAGATCTAGATCCAATTCATGGAGACGAAAGTGGATCTAGAAAGACCTCTTGTTTGCCTTTGCTGACGGGCTTGTCGAGGACGTTGGAGTACTGCTTCATCTTCCCCACTCCGATCATCTTCTCTCAATCCCCCCCTCCTTTCTTCTCTGGAATTTTTCTTTCTCGGGAAAATCTCTCTCGGGGATTGTTTTGCTTAAGATCGATTGCTGAAAAGTTTTTTATTTTATTTTATTTTTTATGTTTTTACTTTTTAGGGCCGTCAATAAAATTTATATATTTGGCCCTAAACGATGAAATAAGAAAATTGAAAGAAAAAAAAGTCGGAAACCCCTTTTCTCCGGAGCTCTCTTGTATCGATCGTCTTTCTCCGACCATTGGATTGATTCGTTGGAATCGTTGGGTGTTCCTTCGAGAAAAACCAGTGTGTGAATGGACGAAGACGATGAATTTGGAGATCTGTACACCGACGTCCTTCAGCCCTTCAAACCCTCCGCTGCTCCTCCGCCTCCGCCGCTTCACCCTCCGATCGACCTCAACCTTCAATCCCTCCATCAAGATATCGAAGATGATGGAGCCACAGCCGTTTCTAGGGTTTCCGATATCGAACCCTCCAAATTATCCTCTCCAGCAATTGACATGGATATGAAATTCGATATCGAAGATGCAGATACTGATGCTTTACCTGCTATTCCTGGCGAATCGCTTCCCGCTTTGCCTACAGATCGAGGTCGCTCAGGAATTGGCAAGCTTAGTGATGGGGCGATGCGCGAGCAAGGTGATGGAGAAGGAGGTGATTGGGATAGTGACAGTGACGATGATTTGCAGATAGTGTTGAACGACAGTAGCCGTAACAGCCTGATCGGAGCTGGGAGAAGAGCAAACCCAGACGAGGACGACGAAGAAGATGATGAAGAACCGCTTGTTATTGTAACGGACACAGATCCAAACCAAGCTATGGAGGGGCATATCTGGGCAGAAGATAGTCTGCAGGCGACGGAGGGAGACGGCAAAGACGCAGGCGAGGCTGGGAAAGCAAGTGGAGCAGGAGCTGTGGCTGCTCCCCCCAAAATTGGGTATATCGGCCATGGTTATCATACCTTTCATTCTCAGTTTAAGGTCAGTGTCAATGCAACGCTGTTGTCACTGGTTAGTTTCTATGGTGGTCAGGGTTTTTCCTGGTGGGTGGCCCCGATTTGGTTTACATGTATTCTGAAGTGCATTCTCTCCTCTGTACTTGTTGTATCTCAATGTCGAATGCAAATTGCAGAGTGTTGATCCTACAAGTCGGAGATCCTTTCTAGATTCTGGCATAGTCTTTCTAGTGTATTTGATCTTATAAACAACAAATGCAAACACTTGAATTTGCTTTTTCTCTTCCTTGTACGCCATTAGCTATTGCAAGGAGGTTCTAATGTCTGGGAAAAAACTCAAAGTAAGGAAATTGAAAAGAAAAAAAAAAGGGAATTCTATGACCAATTCTAAAGCAAATATGCAACAGACTACTCATAAGTCTTGGGGCTTAATGCTGACATTGAAATATGGGGGGTGCTTGTCTCAAAACAAAACTACTTCTATGTATAAATACTTCATTCACTTTTTTATGTCTCGATAATTTTGATATGCATATCTGTCTGTCTCTCTTGCAGTATGTAAGACCGGGGGCTGCCCCAATGGCTGGAGCTACTGCATCTACTGCTGGGACCTCCTCAGGTCAAGTTCGTCCACCCGTAAATGTAGTTCCTATGGCTGGTCGTGGTAGGGGAGACTGGCGTCGTCTGGGTTTCGGGACGGGTTGGGGTAGTAATACAGCTGGTCGGGGAGTTGGTGTTGGTCTGGACTTTACTCTTCCTTCTCACAAGTAACTATTTTTATCTGTGGTCTGATGTCTGAATAGCAATGATCAAGTTCTGATGCACAGAGATCCATGTTTCTTTTATAAGAAGTCTGCATTTATGGTTTTCTTAGGACTATATTTGAGGTCGACATTGATGGTTTTGAGGAAAAGCCTTGGAGATATCCCGGCGTTGATACCACTGACTTCTTCAACTTCGGGCTGAATGAGGAGAGCTGGAAAGACTATTGTAAACAGCTGGTAATTAACTTAACCATGGATCATATCCTTGTTTCCATAACTGAAGACTACTTAGAAAGTATATCTTTCGACTTTATGTAGGATCAACACCGTGTAGAGACCACAATGCAAAGCAGAATTCGTGTGTACGAAAGCGGGAGAACAGACCAGGTAAATAAGATCCTGACATGTTAGTTATTAAGCGGCTTTTGAAAGCTATTCTGGCAATTATTTTTCTTGGGCAGTCATATCTTTTAGCAACCAAGTTGAATCATAAGCATACTCCCTTGTCACAACGAAAGAGGGTAGTGGCAGGCCCTTTCTACCCGCAACTAGAGCTTCCCTTACTTATTTGAAAACGTTCTTGCCCCTTGCGAAATGGTCGCTCACTCCGGACCAAAGGAAGAAAAAAAAGAGAGAAGAAGAACTAGTATTGGATGGGGATGGCACTTAATTCCTCCTTTGAGTAGGACACCTTATCAATATATGAAGTGTGTTGGTAGAGTTTTAAGCAACTGCAATCATGCACGAAATAATTAGCAATGAAGTTCTAATTGCTCTTTTTTCCTAAACTTTTAGGGGTATGATCCAGATCTACCTCCGGAGTTAGCTGCAGCAACAGGTGCTCAGGGTATTCCTGCTGACTCTTCAAATCTAGTGAAACCAACCACTACTCAAGGCGATTCAACTAAAGGACCTGCCCATGTTCGACCTGCACTAGTACGTTTTGCCGTGCCATTTTTCTCAATGAAAAAATATCGTCAATGAGTGTTGTAGCATGTTGCATAGCACAGAGCATCACAGTATTCACATATCCCATTAGTTTTAAGCTGAACCTTGGTTGGAACCTGATTTTTGTTCAGCCACCTGGAAGACCAATACCTGTGGAGACTGGTTCTGGTGAGCGTCTACCATCCATTGATACACGAGCCCCTCGGATCCGTGATGCAGATGCTATAATCGAGGTTATGCATGTCTTGAATCTTGCTTTTTTTGGCACTGCTTGTGAGTCGTTTCATCTTTTCTATATATTGACTCCTAAATTACTGTGATTCTGTGGTCAGATTGTCTGTCAGGACTCACGTGAGGCTGAGCCCTCATCTGGAAATGATGTGGATCAAGTGGGCAATAGCCTTCCTGGAGAAAATATCTTAGGTGATGTCAACAGTGGGAGCCCAGACACAGGATCTTCTTGTCAAGCTCCTACCCAAGATGAGCTAGCTAAAAGGCTTCATGATAAGCAAGAGGATGCAATCTCTGAAAACACGGATGGTAGATGCAGTTTGCGGTCATCATCTCCTATTGGAGGCAGAGACACCAGGTCATCAAGTGTTGACCAGAAAGATACAGGGGCTGAACCTAGCAAATACTCCGAGATGGAGGAAGAACGTAAGATGAGTTCTGAACTCTTGCAGTCCGTGGTTCAGGAAGATGATGGAGGAGAGTCAAAGACTGAGAGAAGCAGTGAAAGCAGCAAAGCAAAATCTGGAAATCACAGAGAGTATCAGCAGTCAAAGGACAGTGCAGTTGATGCTCGACGACCAAGCAGTGGAAAGCAACTTCATGAAAACTCACAGCATCAGAGCAGGAAGAATCAGGATAGAGAGCAGGAAACTGAACGGACACGTGTGGCGGCTAGCAAAGGTGGTAGGGAGAATTCATATCCTCATATGGAGTTTGATTCTAGCTATCCTCGTCACTCATATACAAAAGGCGAGGATTTTGATAAAAGAAAAGAGTGTGACATTGCGGGTAGTGTTTGGCATAGGAGAGAGGATGAAGCTTACAGTAGAAAAAGCAGAGATGAAGGTTCTAGGAAAAGAGACCGTGGAGATTATCTGGGCTCTAGGCACAGGGGTAAAATGCGAGAGAGTGAAACATATGGCAAAGATGACCATGTTCCTTCGAGAAAGCATTTGGATGACGGTGGTATGAGGGTTCCAAGTGACAAGGATTTTGGCTCAAGACCCAAGGAAAGAGATGATAGTTTGAGGAATAATTATGAGGTGATGGACGATTATGTTAGCAAGAGAAGGAAGGATGAAGAATACTTACGAAGAAGCCGCTCTGATAAGAATGAAATTTCTCACAGTCAAAGAGAATCATCTAGCCATCCAAAACGAGAAAGGGGTGATAGGTTGGAGGATCAGAAGAGAGCTGCCCAGAAAATCAGAGAGGATTTTGGTGATTTCCGTTCTTTCGGAAACAGAGATGAATTTTATGTGCAGAGAGATGGCAATGAGAGGCAAAGGGAATGCGAAGATTTGGATAATTTGAGACGGACCCGTGAGGAGGATTCATCAGTGCACGGAAGAGAAAGACGGGTGACTACGAGGAACCACAGAGATTCAGAAGACCGAGCATCAAGGATGAAGGATGAATACAAGGGTTCTGATAAAGAGCTTCTTAACAAAGACACAGCAAGGCATAACAAACATCAGAAGAGAAGGGAAAATGCCTATGAGGAAAGTTCTTCACATAATGGAGGACATGAGGAGACTTCTACGCGTCAAGACATAACTGTGAACAATGAGAAAAAATTGAGGCAGGAAAGGGCCAGTGGTAGAAGTGATAAGATTTCTGATCCTTCAGATGGCAAGGGATCGCAAGAGAAGAAGCACAAGGAATCTAGACGAAAGAACAAAGAACATAGAATTGGAGATGCTGCAGATCTTGGGCCATTAAGAAGCAAACAAGAGGAACAAAATGGCAGTTTTGAAGAGTTGGTATGTCCCGTCGGCCATGGAACCCATCTGGTTTAATTATCCAAGTTTGACCTGAGATTTTAACTTGAGCCTTTGTGATACAGTTTATCAAGGATAAACTTCTCTTATATCGCGTTAATTACTGACATTTTTTTTTCATGGCTTTAGGGCTCAAAACGTGCCAACAAGTCGAGAAGTAGGAACACTGCCCGAAGAAACAAGGAAGACGTTTCCTCAGACGAGGAACAGCAAAACTCGAAGAGGGGACGGCTGGAGATGGAGCATTGGACGAACCATAAAGAGAGAGAAGACTTTACTCTCCCTGCCAAGTCATCATCATCATCTGTGCCCTTGAAGTTTCAGGAGATGGACAAAAGCCCAAATGGAAGATCTGCAGAAGAAGGTAGAGAAGCAGCTCATGACCCCACTACTGAGAAAAACCGGGATGCAAACGAAGAGAAAAACGCCGCGGAGATGAAACACAGGGGTCAGAAGCCGCCACCAGGGGACCGACACTTGGAGACGGTCGAGAAACTGAAGAAACGGAGCGAAAGGTTCAAGCTTCCAATGCCAAATGAGGATAATATCATCACATCAACAGTAAAGAAAACGGAGACTGAGACTGATAGAAGAACCGAAGGGGCTGCAGATTCAGAAGTGAAGGCAGAGCGGCCAGCGAGGAAAAGACGGTGGACGAGTAGCTGAGAGCCGTAAACCAAAGAAAAAACAAGAAACTGGTTCTCGAGTTTTTGTCTGGACGGAGAAGAGAAGCCAGGAAGCAGCAGCGTCTTTCTCTGCTTGTATGGATGGATGTGGGTTAAAGGCACATGGCTGAAAGAGGGTCTCATATAGGAATGAATGCGGGGTTTTAGCTGGAGATTAGGCAGAGACAAATGAGGTTTTAGTTGGAGATTATGTAAGAATTAAGATTAAGGATACATACGGATACTTGTGTTTGAGTCTGTAGTTGATGATGTAAACTTTTGTCCGAGAGATTTGTACTCGAAATTTTCAGAGTACCCGAATTTACGAATATACATTATGTTGCATTATCCTGATAGACGTACTATCTGTTAGAAAAAAAAAAGTAATATAATAATATTAACAATTTGTTTCAAATCTAAAATATGTTAACAAAAAAAAAGTCGAAATCCTTCCGTATCAAAAAACTAAAATTTCATCAAACTGAACTTTCAAACGTAAATTAAAACATTTTAGTACAGAAAGGGGTGGACGTTTCGGGAAACGGTTCGGTTTCGGGACGGGAATGGATCAGTTCGGTTCTTTCGGTTTTACAAAAATAGGTACCAATCGGTTTTTATATTGTATTCGGTTCGGTTCGATTTCGGTATCGGTTCAGTTCGGTTCCGGGTTTTATTAAAAAAAAAAATTTCCCTTAAAAATATTTGGTTTTTCGGGAGTTTTAAAGTTCGGTTCGATTCGATTCGGTTTCAGAAAAAGTCGGTCATCTAAAAATGGTACCGTTCGGAAATTAAAAACGGTTTCGGATCGGAAAGAATAAACATCTAGCTCTACATAAAACAAACGGATTCAAGCAAAATAAATTTACATTAAAATCTCATCAAACGCAAAACTTTCAAATTTTAAAAATTAAACAAAAAATTTCACACATAAGATCTATATATAGTTTGTAGAGATGATATATGTGTGTATACATATATATATATATATCGTAGAGATGATGATTAATTATGTTGGAGAACGAGGTAAAGAAAGAAACAAGAGTAAAAAGCGGGAAAAGGGTGGGGGGAGAGAGAGTATATATACCTAATGTGGACAGCTCAGACTTGGATTTCTGATTGCAATTATTAATTATTTCGCACAAAATTGAGAGAGAGAGAGAGAGAATCTGGTTCGTCGTCGCAAAGAAACGCTACCGGAGAGGAATGAAGATCACGGCGTTGCTGGTTCTCAACTGCGCCACCGAGACGGCGGATCCGGTGATCCTTGCCAACGCCTCCGACGTCTCTCACTTTGGCTATTTCCAGAGAAGCAGCCTCAAGGAGTTCATCGTCTTTGTCGGCCGCACCGTCGCCAAACGCACCCCTCCCGGCCAACGCCAGTCCGTCCAACACGAAGGTTTTCCTCTGATTCCCTCTTCGGTTCTCTTCGATCTCGATTCCATCTCCCCCGATCCCAATTCTGTGAGTGTTTTTTCATCTAGAGTACAAGGTTCACGCTTTCAATCGGAACGGCCTTTGCGCCTTGGGTTTCATGGACGATCATTATCCCGTTCGAAGTTCCTTCTCTCTTCTCAATCAGGTTTCTTATGGATCACATCCTCCACGGTCCTATTGATTTGATTTCTTGCAAATTCACATCATATTTCCGTGGAAATTGATGGACGGGTTACCAATTACCCCCGTGATTGGATTTCTCCCAGGTTCTGGACGAGTACCAGAAGAATTTTGGTGAGACATGGAGGTCTGCAAAAGAAGACAGCACCCAACCATGGCCATATTTAAATGAAGCTCTATCAAAATTCCAGGTTCCTTTTAGGTTTTTGCTCTTCCATTTGTCTATGCCTCTAAACAAGCCCATGATACTGTGTCGTAATAAGCTCGACAGGGGTGGAGTAAGTAAGATGTCTGTTGATTTTGGGTCACTGGTTCTGGAAAAAAAAAGAGTTTTTTTTTTCTTGTTTTCTAAATCTGCAGGACCCGGCGGAGGCTGATAAGCTGATGAAAATCCAGAGGGAATTGGATGAGACCAAGATTATCCTTGTAAGCTCTGAATCCAGTTCTTGTTCTAGAACCTTTCCGTATATACTTTGCACGTGTATATGGTGTGCCCGTCTGTTATGTTCTGCCAATGAATTCAGCTTTTTCCCAAATCTTAATTTCTACGCAAGGATAAAGAAGTGTTGCAGATGCATGATTACTTTTTCGAAATATTATCCAACTGAATTTCCGCCAATTGGTGCAGCACAAAACCATTGACAGCGTGCTTGCCCGAGGTGAGAAGCTGGACAGCCTAGTGGAGAAGAGTTCAGATTTGAGCATGGCATCCCAGGTAATGTTCTTGAGCTATCTGGCTGGCTGTTTACATCATCTGCATTTATAAGTCTATCTCTCTCTCTATCGATCGATTAGGAACACAGAATTTACGGTCGGGTTGCTAGACAGCATTTAAGGTGTATAACCCCACTAGAACATCAGAGCTAACTTCGAAATCTGTATTAGAGCCTGAGAATATGACCCTATGATATCCTGCAAGACTCTAGTGTATAATTCGCTGCAAAAACTTGCTAAAGTAGACGGAAAATCGATATTTTTTCAATTGGCATGGAAGTCATTGGTTTGGTAGATGAATGTATGGCATGCACAGAAACGTAATCTAACATGAGGAGATGTTTGGTTGAAACAGATGTTCTACAAGCAAGCGAAGAAAACTAATTCATGCTGTACTGTTCTCTGAGGGCGATGTCGGATTCTACAAATTTGCAGGGGAAACTGCCTTGTGTCTAGTTTCGATTCTGTTTGAGATTCTAAGACCTGTGTGTCATGAAATACGTATTGCTATCACTCTACTTGCATCTGTTTTGGTTACCAAACCCGAAAATCCTTTATGTAGATCACAGTATGTCTTTTTTTTCTATCATGCTTCAAGAAGTGGAAGAAGTTGGTATTAGTAGAGAAAGACAGTGTTTTGTATTTTTGTTTTTTTAATCTTTCAAATTGTGGGGACAATGAAAGAATCTCCACCCAAGAAGAAACAGTTTGGAATCCAACCGGCGAAGTTTCTAACAGAGCATTATCTAAAAGGGTGCCTCCATCTGCATCTGGTCCTAATTTCTATGTGTCTATCTAACCGCTGTGTCAAATGGGCAAAGATACCTACGGCAGATGGAATGAATCAATCCCAAAGTCAGCAGCCATCGGCTCATCCTGCATTCACAGATATCAAGAACTGTCATCAATGGCAGCATATGACATATACATTGATGCAGAAGGACACGCCGTCCATTGATATATTACCTGTTTCATCATCTCGTTCATCATGTCATCGAATGTGTCGGGCTGATCATTGATAAAACCATTTTCAGACTTGGTTTGCTCCAAGCTGTAGCCTTTTCTCATTTCTGGTTCCAATCTTGCCGGTTTTCCCACATTGGCTTGTTCCCTGTTGAGTATTACACCACCATCTATTTCGCTCATCACAGAAGAACCATCCAAGCCTTTGTTTCCGACTGCGTTTATCATGTCCATAACCATTTCATTGGCCGGGACCAGGCCGTCCATGTTACCGAACGAATTATTCAACACGTGGATGCAATCCCGTCTCTGTTCCTCCCAGTTTTGTTGGCCTGAGGTGTTCAGGTGACTCTGGCATTGCATCTCTCCTCCATGATTCTCCGCAAAGATGAACGAGTTGATGTCCGCTGGACCATTCCCAGCAATGCCGCTAAAGTTATTATCAGCCAGCTTATCATCTCGACTGAAAGAATGGTTTATCTGCAAAGAATTCAACGGGAATTTGGGTGTTTTATCATTCCCTTGCCAACCGGTACTGCATCCGCTGTGATTAGGAAAGCTAGAGGAGCCAGGCATGCTGAAGTTGAGGGAACTAAAATCGGATGGAGCTCCCAGGAGAGAAGATTCATTTCCAGACAAGATCTTATGCAGGGGCTGTTGATACTTCGCCTGTAACATCAGAGAGTTAGTAGAAGCATTGGCCAGAGAAGGGCTAGAGCTGCCGCCAAATGATGCCCGAGAATCCAGGAAACCGCTGCAGATTGACCGGTCACCTATGATTTTGGAATCTCCCACGTATGCAGGGCCCTTGCTTCCAAGAAAAAGGTTGGGTTCTAGCTGAGGTGTCGTTCGTTGAAAGGAATTCACGTTCTGAACTCCGGATAATAGGGGTGAGTGGTACTTTCCAGACATGTTTGTTGAGTTGCTTGAGTTCTGGTAATGCCCTGGTTGAACAAAGCTGGGGGAGGCAATTCCCTGAAGGTTTATCAATGACCGAGTTGGGGAATTGAGTCTGGTGACAATTGGAGCATGAGGACGGGATAAGAGTGTTGAGATCGGCAGTTGTCTTGTGGCAGTCAAGCCGTGAAAATCTTTGAATCCATCAAGTTGAGCCATGTGCAAGCAAGAGGGATCTTTCGTCCCATATGCAGTTGAAGACATATGACGGTGCAGATGAGCTTCGTCCATCTTTTTCAAGTAAAGTCTGTACTTCTGCAACAAAAAACGAAGGAAAAACAGGTTGAACAACTTCATCACGCGCATTACTACAGATAAAGGCAGAGTGAGAGAGGAGAGAAAGGGGACAGGACTGAGATTCTTGCCTGCAAATGGCTGGCTACATTTTCCCTAGTCAGACCTTCTACATTCATGAGATCAAGGATTTTCTTTGGAACAGCCTCTGGCAACAAACAAGTCAGAGAAATAAAGTATCAGAAGAAACAAAAACAGAGAAGATAGAAGAATTATCCAGAGAAAAGGCGACGATAAAGAGATTTTGCAGGGGGACAACTCACTGTCAGGGCCCAACTGTGTAACGGCGGCGACAAACTTCTGGTGGAGCTCAGATGCCCACACGACACGAGGCTTCTTCCGGGAACTAGACTCATCCATGTCATGGTCACTCCCCTCTCCACCTTCATTTTCTCCATCACTGTCATTGTCCTCATCATCGCCATCATCAATGTTGTCTTGACTTGTGTCTTTGCGTTTCTTATTGACTTTCGAGGCCTGGTGAGCGTCAGGAGGAGGGAGGAGTTGACGTGAAGGCCCAACAGCGTTGTTCCTCGCATATGGCTGAATGTTATTCCTGACAACATGTTGCCAGATATTACGGAGCTCCTTCAGACCGACGGGTTTGATCAGATAATCACAGGCACCGTGAGTAATGCCTTTCATGACGTGGTCATAGTCACTATGAGCTGACAACACTGTGGATAGCAGGAAGGAATTAACCAAAAGGACCGGGATGATATGCAGCAAAAAGAAAAGGAAGAACAAAAACATACTGATGACAGGAAGGTTCATTTCAAGGGCGACAAGTTCAAGCAGCTTAAAGCCATCCATGTCAGGCATCTCCACATCGCTTATCACCAGATCAAACTTGTTGCTCTCCTCCCTCAGCATTTCAAGAGCAGCCTTAGCCTCTTTTGTTGTCGTCACTGAGCATGTATATGAATATATATAGCCATTTTCAACATCACCCTCTAACTAGTTATTTGCCTTCACAACCCAGATTAAAGAAAATAAGAAAAAAGGAGAGAGAAGCACCATGATATTTGCAGCTAAGCAGCAACTCCTCTAGTTTACGAAGGCAGGTTGGATTATCATCGACGGCAAGAACACGCATACCCACCGGAAACTGCTCCTTCCTTCCCTCCTCAGCACTCGCTGCCGATTCCATCTTCTGTATCTTTCCTTCTTCTCTTCCCCTGGAAACACAAAAACTCTGGTGTGTCTGTTTCATATAATGTGGAATCGGATAATCATTGTTCCACACGTTTGAAGTCCCAAAAAAGTTACAGGACTGAGGGAATGCTCACAAGAAAATAAAAGAGAGAGAGAGAGAGAGAGAGAGAGAGAGAGAGAGAGAGAGAGAGAGAGAGAGAGATTATGCCATTAATCCTGGCCCTTAATTCTCCATATAATCACAAATTTCCTTCTTTTTTTTAGTGATTGTTTCCAATTATGGAACGAAGAAAGTCACATGCTCTGCTACCTTCCTTTTGTTTGTTGAATCTTCCCTTTTATACAAATAAAAGACAACGTCTCATTTCAATGTCCCTATTTCCTTCCTCGGAAATATCTTATTCTCACATAACGTTCAAACTGAGCATTTCGGCCTTTCCATGTTTTTTCATTTAATTTCCATTTCCTAATTCTATAGACATGTCTAGATGCTTCACATGAAAAAATGCGAAAAGAATAATATGATATGCCTTCAATCAGAGAAAAAAGAAACAACTTTCCACGGGAATGGAATGGACTGACCTGAGTTCATCATATTAACAGTTTAAACAGACATGTATCCTCCTCCACGATTCTGGCATTACTTCCATTCATTCATCCGCACCCAAGATTCTGCTATTTTCTCGACTCTTCCGTCTAAAATCTCCATCAAAACCGAAAACTCTCGCTCTGCAGTAATCCTTTTTTCATTTCTCAAGAAACCTCTCAGGCTATGACCTTGATCATCAACTTTTGTTCCGTTAAACCCTTGGAACTATTGCACTGTTCGAATATATGGCCTTCTTGTCAAATCATTTTCGGGCTCCCCTTCCCTGACTGCAGTACCTTATGCATGTGCCCAAACACAACTAATGGAACTGACCACCCTTGTCGTCTCCTTCAATTGGCTATCGCCTGTCCCAGATCTGAAACATTGGAAGAAAATCTTCTCTCTTTGAATTGAACAAGGGTTTGATGCCACAGCCACATTCAGTAAGCTAAACATGATATTTGAAGTTCCCCTCAACTGTTGGCCCATTATGTGCAAAAACCAAATTTCCGCCATAGAAAAAGTCGACTTGACTGACTGGCCTAAGACTAAACCAGTAAGAAAAACTCCCTCATACTGTGCAAGAGTTAAAACCAAGTGATCAGCTATAAATTCTCCCAGCCATGTTATCCATTTCCCAAACTCCATATCTGACAGAAGATCGAAATTTCATGGAGACTGGGCGACATGTTATTGTCATATGTTCAAGGAGTGATATAAATTTCTAAACCCGCAACCCAGCCTGTTCAGAACTGCTACCCCTACGCTTTGCCATTGTAGGTTTACAGATATCACTACACAAACACCGAAAACTGAATGTATATACAGAGTGCAGAATTCAGTAGATTTGGGAGTTGAGCTATGGTTTCTCTCCAAGAAGACATTTGTTTTGATATATGAATATGATTCGAACAAGCATATACATGTACATATTGTGGATATCCATCCCAACTACTGACATTTTGCCCAAAACCTGAAGAGATTAGCGAAGATAGCAATGAACACTTAGGTCATGATGAGGAAGAACTTAAAGGGCGGCAAGTGGAGCGGAAAATGGAGAAGCAGAAACGGAAGAGACAACATACCAGAGGGTGTAACTTCCCATTCGTAAGGAAAATGGTTACATGAGTGATGCTGAGCATCCGCACAAGGATACCTTTCATCTTTGAGCAAAAATGGCTGACGATAAATCAAAGGAGGAAGTGCTAATAACCTAATCTGATCCGAGAATTAAAAAAAATCCAAATACAGTCATTACATGCTCTGGCTGCACTTCCTGCCATTAATGGCCCTTTCTCCTGCATCCAACACCGTCACCATCACCGCCAAGCTTGCAAACACGTCTCGCATGAGGAACAAACCAGAACAGAGAGATCATACGACAGCAGAGAAGGTTGCACGATTTGGGCCGTAGCATTCTAAAATTAAATATTTGGGCTTTTTAATTTGAAGGCCCATCAGCTTCGGTATCTGATGCACGTTCTGTTTACAACTTGAAGATGTTTCATTTTCGGCCATAAAAAAAGAAAAATTCCATTAAAAAAAAATAGCAAAATTTTTCTAAATGGTAAATATAATTATCTCAATTTCCAAAATTTTAAATAAATACTATAATTTGGTTCATTTGTATGGAATACATACCAATTTGATAACTGATTGTCGTTATCGATTTGATATTTATTTACCATGAATGGGTTCAATTGAGATATTTATTTATTAATTTGAAATCTGAGATAATTATATTTCCCATTTACACAAATTTTAGTATTTTATTAAAAAAATCATAAAAGCTAAATAAATTGGGCCTTCCTACCTTCCATTCCATCCATCCAAGCCTGATTTTCGCTATATATATTTTTTTCTAGCAAAAGAACCTTTTAAAAATAAAAACGATATAGCACATGTTTTTTATTTCAAAGTTTCATCTCTTTTTAATATTTATGAAAAAATAAAAACAAAAACGACTGGACCGATCTCGATAAGAAGGGGTATAAGTTAGGAATCTTGGTAGCTTGAGCGTAAAACACAGAGAACCACTTGGGACATTTTCACGTGAATGAAGAGCCAACTCTTTTGATGATTTTACAAGAAATTAAAATTGAATCAACTCTTTTAATGATCCCACTCAACCTCTCGCCTCGTCTGTCAAGCATTTTTTTTTTTTTGATTGGTTTGTATATTTTTGTGAAGTTGTTGTAAGATGGCAAACCAACCCCCATCTCTCTCTCTCTTCTCAAGAGGCTATGTCTAACCCTAGTTTTACATTCCGGTCAAGTCCCTATACCTTCCCTCCACCGTCAACTTTTTTTTTTTGTTAGGGTAACAGGTATCCTGATTTCTGGATCAAGGTTTTGACTAATCCTGGAAACCAGGAGCCAGATGTTTTGGAATATATACTTCCTCCCCAAATTTAAAATTCGAACTCGAAGTGAAACAAACGCTTTACGCCCCATTTCATCGGTTGAACTATCCAGGTTTAGATTTCCACTGCCCACTTTTATTGGCGTTTGGTTAGACTCTCTCTCTCTTCAAGACTAATGGCTAGGAGAGGAGCCATTTGGCAAATAGCTTGCTGATTTCATGAGCTATATAATATAATAAGTGCAAACTGGCAACCAAGAGTGGTTGGTTCAACTGGTAAGTGGATATGCGCAAAAAGTGTTCCACCTATATTCGAACTCCACGCTTGGCCAATCATATATTATAAAAAAAAACCATGTTGTTTCCATAAGTTTAGAAGATTAATTCCTTGGGCAACCTTAAACCTATACATATATATATATATATATATAGAGAGGGGTTTAGGTCATTAGACTTCATTCTATATATGTGTATAGTAACCTTAAAACTTGAATGATTATATGAAAATATAATTAAAGACAGCAAATCATCATGAAGGAAAAACACAGAAGATGTAGTTCGAAGTGCGACGTATGCTTAGAAGACAAACAACGTTCACATGTTTAAAGATGCCAAATAGACGGCACAACTTAATTAGGGGTTAATTAATTGAACACGGGTGTTGATAATTTTAATTAAAAAGGAGGGAGAGGCCGGAAGCCATGGCGAAGGGCGGCCTCCCAAACCCTGTCGATATCAAAGAAGAAAGCGTGGCCACACTCATGCTCCTCCCACCCCTCCAGCGCGTGCACTATCCCCCCCACTCTCCACGCGCTCATCACCCTCCTCGGCAGCCAATTCTATTAAAAAATCATACCCATTACACGAAATGAATTGAACTGTATAACATGCGTACGGCTCTACTACCTCGCAAGAATCTACGTTTTGGGCAGACTCCGGAATATACATCGAGGGGGTGGGGTGGTAATGGCAGTCCTTCCTCGTTTTCTTTGGTGGGAATTGAGAGAAAGGAATAAATAGGGTTCCTTCCTTTGCCATCGTCTCTTCTTCTCTGCTTAGCCCGTCACCTCCCACTAACCATATCTGCGGTTATATCCCCACATATCAATATCTCAAACTAACTATATATATATATATATATATATTAGTGTGTATATATACACACACACACAGATGGACATGGTCCATATATATATACCCTTGGGGAGTTGGTCCGCATCAGCACGATATTCTCACTACAACTTACGCCCACGAATTCAACGAGCCTCCGGTGTTCCTCGGCGCGTAACACCATTACCTATGTTAAACCACGTTACGTCTTTTTTTTCTTTCCAATATACACATATACAAAAAATATATATCTTATTTCACTAATAATTTAACATAACTTTTTCTTCTTTGTTAAAACCATGATTTCTTAGACTTTTTTCGATCGGTACTGAAAAATGTTGCAAACAATCTCATTGCGTTGCAAAATTCAATTTTGCAATACAAGAAAAAGCGTTGCAAATAGCCCAATTTTTTTGTACTGTTTCGTTTTTTTTTACATGAAATAATTACTCATGTAATTATTATAAGAATAGTGATTAGTATGAATTATTACCTTGACGCCTCTTTGGATGAGAGCAAAGACAGTGGCATAGGCAACCTTAGTGAGTTTGCCTCTGAAAACCACTTCTGACGTTTCCCTGGGAATGCCATTGACAACCACTGCAGCTGCAAGGCTACTCCCGTCTACCAGCCTTACCTTCAGCTTCGGATGCCTCTTCACGTACATTTCCCCGTATCCATTCAGTTCTTCGCCCTGATTCAATCCCAAATCGGGCGTATACATAATAAAACCATAGTGTGTATATATATATATATGTGTGTGTATATATACATGCAAGTAGATACATGTGATTTACCTGGTTCATTAGCCCAAGACTGACTACTCTCACACCCTTCTTATCAGCTTCAACGATGCTTGCCTCTATCATTTTGTTGATAGACTCGTACTGCCGTGGTGACGTGTACTGCACGCATGCATACAAACGGTAATTGGCAAATATATATATATATATATCAAATCCTCTTTACATATGTACATGCAATAAAAGGACAGACGTTTGAGAAGAAAAGAAATGTACTTGAAAAGCAAACTTGGGGAGGAGGCGGGAGTGGAGGGTGAGACTGCGAAATCGGTTTCGTTCGAGAACAAAGGTGGACGATGAAAGGTAGGAGAGAAGGGCAGAGAAGAGAGTGAGAGGCCACATGAAGGAGAGGAACCATCGGGAGGAGATGAATGGATGAGAGGAGAGGGAGGGAAAGCCGAGGCGAATATGGTAGATCGAGTCAAGGGTGGTCAGATGGGTGAGATGGATCACGTCCGGTGTCTCCTCCTCCCGCTGTAGCGACGTCTCGTACAAGGAGTCGCTTGACTTGTCATCGGTCCCGTAGATATAGTCGTACATCGGCATGAACAGCGAATAGTTCGTTCTGAACTGCGTGTGGTGGAGCGAGTGGAACCTGTATTCATCAAAGGTCAATAAGAAGACCGAATAAAAAAATTGTGAATAATGAAGAGTTTTAGTTTGCATAGAGTTTATATATATTAGATATGAATTAGGAATTCTAGTGAAAGGAGATTTACGAAGGAGTGTAGAAGAGGAACTTCAAAGGCGGGAAAAGAGAGAAGAGGGGACGAGGGAAGAGCTCGAAGTTGCAATGGCCCATGTTGTTCATGAAATCTATGTACGTCAAGTATCCGAGCATGGAGACGATGGAGAGGTTCCCGCACAAGGACGACGTCACGACAGGTATAGCAAAGAGTAGCGAATAGGCTATGTGCTCGGCAAATGGATGCACCACCGCTGCATATATAATTGAAGATTAAATCAATATATATCCAAAAAGAAATAAAGAAGGATTAAAGTGGAGGGGCGTTACGGTTCCGTACAGGTGATGGGCTCAGTGACAATAGAGGAATGGTGGTGAGAATGGTAACGAGAGTAGAGGAAATGGTGGTGAAGGGCTCTATGGAACCAGTAGTAGAGGAACTCGACCGGACCGGCGTGAAGGAGAGCCATGAGGACGGCGCCGTCGGTTCGCCAGAGGGGAGCGCGAGAGGAGCCGGGGAGGAATTTGTTGCCGAGGTACATGAGGAGGGCGTTGAAGATGATCTGGTCGTCCCATGTTCGTTCACGGTCGACCTGGTCGAACTCGATGGGCTTGTCCACGATCCTTCTCGAGCCCTTGGCCGTCCGGTGACGAGACAAACTTATCCATATCTGGCTGTGAACCATTCGCCACGCCATCAGTGCTGCTATCAGCAGGTTCCCAAGGTCTCGCTCCTCCTCGGACTTTGTCCCGTACGAGTATATGCTCTCCACTATCCATGGAGCCACCACAAGGTACTGCATTTGCATACATATTATATATATAAGATATGTCTATACACACACACATATATATATGTATAATGGTAAAGGAAAGGAAAGAAAACCTTGAAGCTTCCAAGGGCCTTCCATGGCCAGTCGGTGAGAATCCCTGGTCTGGACGCCATTTCCTTTAGAAAAAAAACAAACTTGCAACAATGATCTGAGAGGAGAGGAGCTGTTTGTTTCTTTCGTGTGAAGTATTGTTATATGCATATATATATATATATACTACGTAGTACATGTGAAGCACATCGTGGTGGGGCCAGTTTCCGTAAGTTTAGTATCGTACGCTTTCCCACATAAGCACTATTTTTGGCAGGGAGCCTACGAGCTGAGGCTTGAGCCTTAATGGCTCTTTCCATTTTTGGCTGTACCACTTTGAATACCATCTGACGAATTGGTGGTGCTCTCCCACCGGTCCCAACCGTTGGAATTCAATTTTAGGATACGTCTCACGGGCCTCACTTTTTAGCCCATTATAAAACGTCTTTAGGCCCAATAATACGTCACGGGCCGAAATGTATCGTCACGAATACTATATATATTATACATATATCAGAGAGAGATTCATAACAATTAAATTCCCGTTACGTACAGCGGACGAATGCCATTTTGGTAAAAGGTGCAAGTCCAAGAAACCTAAGGCCCCCAAGCTACAATCTCCGACAGCAACTGCCCAAGTGTCCATGACTTCCAAATATGTCGCTTTTACTCCACCATCCATCATGATGCAGCTCAATCTGCCAAAAACAATTGTGAGAAAATTCGACCAATTCCCATACCAATCCTACATCATTAATTTGCTACTGCGGGCCTTCGGCTACTAACCTTTCTTCCGCAATTGTTTTTGAATCTTCCCTTGGCAAATGGGTCACTACCCAGACCATGTTAAGGCGAACTCCGGCATGGAAAATGAATTCACAAGCCGAAGATGCCATGATCGTTGGCACCGAAAATGGCAGCGCTGAACTGCCGCGTGTTCAAGTCGCCCCCGTCGATGGCAGATCCGAACCGATCGAGCCACTGGGTAGGGCTTGGATTTTCTGCCTCCTCCACCCACTCAGATGTCATGTCGATGTCCTCAAGTGCAATTGGGTCCGTATCCAATGACGCCATTTTCCCTAAATTGAGATTGTGATTCACGTACGCCAATCCGTTCAACATTTCTTTGTCAATCTTGTTCCGTCTCTCCCAGTGCATCTGCTGGAATGTGTTCCAATGGCGTTCCAGGTTGTAGCCACTGCAAACTTGACTCAGTATCCTGATGGCCACCCGTTGCAGCACGGGCGCTGAGTCACCAAACTGCTCCCACCACAGCCCTGCATTGTTTA